GAGTACACACACATTTTACAGTATCGGTCCCGATACCCGATACCAGTATCGGTATCGGTGCATCCCTACTTAAAGGAATACAGGATGATGAACAGGCAACGTTTCTGCTGAACTGGAAAGAACAAAGCTTATGATGCTAATGTTCTCCATGTGGTAAGTGTCCATGTGCTCATTGATCCTGGTCCCTCCTGTTTAGGTCTAGAGGTAACTTAAGAAGGAGCCAAAATCAGGCAGGGCTCCTGAAAACAAACAAATGGCCTCCCACTGGTGCTTTCTGTGTCCTGTCTCCTCCTTCATGCTAGAGTCAACACACTACTTCCATTTACTGATCACAATCATTTTCATAAGGTGACAGTACCTGTAATATTAATATTCCCTTTTCCCTTTAAAAGCTCACTTGCTTCTGTCATCAGACTCTACTGATGAAAAAGTGAAACGTAAAATAAGCCCACACACACACACCCACGGTGTTGTCTTTTACTTGTGTTTTTTGTATTTATTTCTGATTTTTTATTATTTATTAAATAAAGGAAAAGTAAGAAAAAGGTATTTATAAAGGGCAATAAGCAGCTGCAAAGCATTATAGAACAAAACGGTAAGATAAAAAAGGAATATTAGTGAACGTGAAGTAATTGTGTAGTTAAACAAAACTGCTGCTTTCTACGAGTCCAGATGGTCTGCTAACCAAAGCTGTACTGGGAGTCTTGGTGCCACAGACTTAACCAGTACACACCATACAACACCTCACCTGGTGTTGGGTCTCTCTGCAGTAGACTATCACGTCCTGTTCCTGTTACAAGTGACAGTGGTTTTATCTGCGTGACCCATGTAATTAAAAAATTAATTAGTGAAGGTTACAAATAATCTTCTCATGGCCTCTGACGGTGGACTCATCTCCCTGCTCGTCCTGCCAGTGCAGTTCTCCACAATATTGACTGTAATATTATCTTACCGCTATTACAGCATGGTGGAGGTAGTAAACATACTGCATTGTATCAATAGACTGCAGTTTGTTCATGTAAATGGGGAATCCATTACAAAGAATGACTCCTAGCATGTATAACCTGACAATAATGAACTTGTGTAAGAACAGTGGAACGTTTAAAAGGATGAAAATAATAAAGTTGCTGTCGCTGTGTTGATGTAAACAGGCTTCGTTCCATCAGGGACCGGGTACATCGACATGACTTTGTGATGATGGACGCCCCTGTCAGGCATTGTTTGAAGAAGATTGCACTCCACAGTCCAGTCCTGGGACTGTGCAGATGGCCTGATCCATCATCATGCAGACATTTGCAGCTCACTGTTAGTGCCATGGGTTTTTATTTTGTGAGCGTTCAGTGGAAGTGCTTGTGTCCTGGATTGGGCTCTGAAAACAAAGATGACATGATGTATCAATGCAAACCAGAGGAGCTAATCAATATCTAGTCTATGCAATGCATCACTAGGGCTGGACACTGTGATCCTGCTCTCTGTCACCCAGATTATAGATGACAGGACAAAGTCTCATGGCTGCTGTTAGCTCATGGGTTTCTGCACTCCTGACTATAAAAACACATTGGAACTGCGAGTTTGAAAGTAGGAAATTCTCATTTTCTGTGTGAAAGAATAATAATAACTTTGTTTGTATAGAACAACACAGGGTTACAAAGTGCTTCACAGTTTGAATAAAACCCACACACTGAAGTATACAAGTTAAAACATGCAGACACAATCAACCACACAGTCAGACTCACCTATACACAACCAGTTCCAAACTATGGCCGAAAATAAAGGCGCAAAGATTAAGGGAAAGCTAACCTGTAAAAATTTGTTTACAGTAGTCGTTTAAAACAGTTAGTAGAGTCAGACGACCTAATTGACTCAGGAAGGCTGTACCGAAGTTTGGGTGCAACAACCTCCAAAGCACGATTACCTCGAGTTTTGAAATCAGAGCAAGCGACAGGTAGGAAACCTTGGTTAGAGGATCGGAGAGGCTGATTGCTCTGTAGCTACAGATACAGCCACTTAAAATGACCTAACTAGTATAATTGCAATAGTATAATTAATTGCAAGCTAGCATTTAATGCAATACAAATAGCCAGACATAAAGCACTCCGATTGCACAACAATATGTATGTGCATGGGTACTTCTGTTGGAAATATGTGGTGCTTTGTTCTAAACATTAATAAGGTCAGTGAAAAGCTGCTGCACTAGAGGGACCCAAAGCTTTGGCACTGTGCTTAAAAACTATTGGTAATCCATTTACCCATTCCAAACAAGTTAACAGATA